AGCAATGGGGTGGGGAGGGACTTTGCTGTCCAGCTTTCCAACCAGAGCTGCAGCTACCCAGCATGCTTGTCCTTTGACAATTTTTCATTAAACTGTGGGTACTTTACTGCATGCTTTGTGCCTTAAATACCTCTTATTAGCATTTGAGTGTCTTTCCTCCTTAGAAAGCTTGCAAGGCTCCATTAAGGGTAATGAGAGTCACACTCCTGGGAGGCAAGGAGAATATATACCCCAACATCTCCTGGTTACGGTCTACCCTAACCAGTATGTCAGAGCATCATCTGCTAGGGATTTATTACAGAGGCATTTTACAACACGCTCTATTATAAGTTATTAAGGAATGGAGCAGCTTCTACTGTTCTTTCATTAAATATTAATAGAACATTTATAAACCGATCTTTAATTTAAAGTGTTACCTTTAATCAAAGCCCCGGTGATAACAATGCAGCCTTTGGTAAGGCCCCTGTGGTAGTACTTAAACCTTTCACACTGAGATTTTATGTGCCTGTGGGTGCACTCCTGCTCTGGGCACAGAGCACGGAGGAGCTCTGGCCAGTGCAGGCAGGGCACTCTGGGCTGGCAGCTGCAGGTCTTGCTCCATGGTGCTGCCTGCTGCAGGCACTGCACGGAGCCAGGCAGCAACCTGCAGGGCTGTCGAGCTTCCTCTCCAACACCGTAATGCCCATGGCATGGGTACCCCAGCACCAACACCCAGCATGGAGGTGCAGGCCTGCTGGCACACAGCCATGCACTGAACAGATGCAGGACGCATGGCCACGGTCTGGTCTTCTGACGCCCCACACAGACTGCCCCAGCCCAGCTGGGTGCTGCTCACCTGTTTTACTGTCCACAGTAAAGTGCTGCTCGCCCTCCAGCACACTGTAGACTACGCGGGCACTGCTCCCGTATGTGGGGTCATCAGCATCAGATGCCATCACCTGCATCACAGAGGTGCCTGCAGCAGGGACAAGGAGGAAAACAAAATGTCAGGGAGGAGGTGAGAAGAGCAACGCAAACCTCAGGGCCAGGGGCTGGCAGAACAGGAGAGCAAGGGCCAACACTGATCGCTTGCACATACTGATGGAAACGAGAACAGTTGGGTGCAAATGCGGCATCGCCTCCCCCCAAAAGGCTGAGAGCCAGGACTCCAGACACTGCTGCAAATGCCTCTTTTGTCCTGCAGAGTGGCAGGAGGGACCAGACCTTGGTCCACCTCGGGGCTGCTGTCGAGTCAGGACCTGCTCTCCAGGAGATAACTGGTCTGAACAGCTGGGAGCTTTTCTCCCAGCAGACTTCTGCTGGACCATCTTGGAAGGAGCTGGGGACAAGATGTTATCACCACAGCTGCTCCTTTCCTGTCAGCCCCAAGCAACATGGTCACCTCCAGCCCATAGAGGGACCTCCCAGCCAAGGCCTGATCGACACTGTGGCACCACATCTCTGCAGCAGACAGACCTGCAAAGGGACAACAGCCATGGGAGAGGAAAGGCTTTCGCTTGCCCAGAGCCAGACACAGCACCATGTCCTCATGCTCTACACGTAGCAGGGCAGGAGGACTATAAATTGGATAAAAGTCCATCAAATGTCTGCAATTAAGTTATTGATTTTCAACACTGCTTCATTAAACTGGGTGCTTCACTGCAACTGTCCCTGTGATGGCTTTAATTTGACTTCATGTTCAATTTGACAAAAGCAGGACCCAGGACATGAGAATGGGGCCAGGAGCAAAGGGGCTGAGATCTACAGAGACAACAGAAGAGAGGAAGGAGGGGAAGCCTAATCCTACCTACAGACACCTCTGAGAAAGGAGATGGTGTGATAGAAGACCTGTGAGGACAGGCTACGCAGTTCCACCTCTAGCACCAGACTCACATCCCTGCTCCGGAGGTCAGCACTGGCACCAGTCACCTCTCTGGTGGGATGAGGTGCAGGACTGGAAGAAGAGCCCTGAGCAGCTCATAGGAAAGATCAAACCAACCGGGAAACCCGCTGCTGCAAGATACTGCCAGGGCCAAGAGCTGACAAGGCTGGCAGAGAAGCTGGTAATTTATAACGGACAAGATCTCCCAGCAATGATTGCAGTTAAAGGTAGGTTTTGCTTCAGAAATGACTCCAGGGCACAAGACCAGCCCAAAGTGAAGGGGCCAGGAGAGAGCATTTCACAGCTCACACTGCTGCATCCAGCAGCTCTGCTCTGTCTCATGCACCTCTTAGGGCTGCTGTGCCACCAGCTGAGGACCAGAGGTACCACACTCTGGTCCAGAAACTCTTCTGTTCTGCAGTGCATCCATCCATATGCTGCAAAGACAATCCCACAGGCTGGTCTTGGCTAGACCCATGTCATGAATAACCCAGAGCCAGGCTTATTACTAATTGTCAACATCTGAGTCTAGACCCATTACGTTCCCAAACACCAGAGGTACACACAAAGTCAGAAGCAGCCTCTGTTCCACAGCACAGGGGGCAGAAACAGAGCTGGAACCATCCAGATGGAGAATGAGGAACTCCAGTCCCTGGTGCCTTCCTCTTCCCCTGTTAGACCACAAGCCCACGGCTTGCAGGCAAGCCAGGCAGCCAGGGCGCTTCTGCACCAGCCCAGCCTGGACTCGGGCAGGAGACGAGACAGCGGAGATAGCAATGCTGCTGCGAGCAGCTGGGATGCACACACTCCCCCCAGTCCAGTTCACTTCTGATCTCCTGGAAAGGGTGTTCACTGAAGAAAATGAGCAGTTACCATGGTTGCTTTTCATTCTCCATGGCCATCTTCTCAGAGCTGCAGCTCTGCTGATAACATGAGAATCCCCCTCATTGGTCTTCAGCAACAAGCTAGTTCAAGTCAACTTATTTATGCTTTACTGTCTCCCATGAAGTTACGGTGCATCCCTGCCAGGCACATCCAGATTACACCACAGCAACACTAGCTCCCTGCCTTGCAAACAACTGCTTAAGAAATACTACTGCTGCATTTCCTTGAAAGAGTCTGTCCTGCCTCCTCCTCCTCCCCCTGCCTGCCACCACACAACTCTTTCACCAGGTATGGGCCAAGGCAGATCACCCCCACACCACCACCTGCACTGCACATTCCCTCGTGCATGTTCCCTTGGGAAGTTTCTGATCAGAAAGCCGAGAAGGAAGGGATCAGAGAAGGGAAAGTATATGGCACTGGGGTCTCCAGGCTCCCCTCCCCCAGCTGCAGCAGAGAAGCCCTGCTAGGGATGCTGGAGGTGCCAAAGCCTGAGAATCACAAAAAGCAGCACCTATCCCTGGCAACAGGGAGGGCTCCTTCTATGCCCAGCCTGGCAGCAACCAGCTGAGAGTCCATGCCCAGCGTCCACAGCAGCAGCCACTCCTGCATCTGCACCCTGTAGCACCCATCATCACCACAGGCAGAACCTGCTGACCTTGCACAAACATCTCACACTCCAAGAACCACTTGCTCTTGCCTAGGCACCTCAGAGGCAAAGGGTTAGGAGATCCAAAACTCACCCACACGTACACGAGCCCATCAGAGTTATTTACCTGCACTTGCCCTGTATACAGTATAACCTGTGTCAGGACTGCATGCATGCAGACAGAGCAAGTGCCCCAAGGACTATGCCACAACCCTCTATCCCAACCATCCCAGTACTATCACCCCACAGGTGCCAGCCCAGTGATCATTAAAGAGGGGGGTAGCCACTACAAGTTTGCATCAGGCTCTGCATCTCATGCTGCTTCTCCCCAGATGCGTTCACTCAATTGCATAATTCACCTACTAATCCATTCCTATCAGATAAACAGCTATACTCCTTGTGTTCCAGTATTTACCTGAACATTGCAAAACTGCATCAGTGCCAGAGTCCAATGGGAAGGCAGGATCCATGACCACCCAGAGGTGGGTTTTGTTTCTCCATTTTAAGCCATGCCCTGGACAAGCCAGGCAGGTTGCTGCTCTCAGTTTTCCAACGCCAGCACAGAAGTTTCCTGGTCCTAGGGCTGCCTCCAGCTGCTGGGCACTCCCAAGCGCTGGAGCAACACGGCTGCGCGGTGGCAGATCCAGGCTGATGGGTCCCAGGCGTGAGCCCCGTGTTTGGGACCAGCACTTTCCACTCTAGTGCAAGGGGAAACCAAGCAGCATGAGGAGTATTGCAGCAAGGCACCTTCAGCTCAGAGGCACTAGGATCATGGCATACTGCCCTTAGGCTGAAGCCAGCAACCCTGACGGTGATGAAGGCTCTGCCCTTCACCACCTGCTCTCACAGCATCTCATTAACAGATGAGCAACAACAGGCAGGTAGGGAACATTAACCCTACTTTGTGCCTTGACTTCTAGTCTGCGAAGATGCAATGCAGCCTGCTCAAGGTCACCTATGGATATCAGGAATCTAGGAGTCCAGCTTTCCAGCATCCTCTCTTAACTCCCACTTATCCCTTTCTCCCCTTCACTTGCCCTCTATTTCAATCTGAAGAACAAAGGTCTTGAATTCCAGTTTAACTTGATCCCCTCCTTCCTCCGGAGACAAGCCAAGGAACACTGGCTCCCACCCCTGCTCTGATATTAGCCCCTGCTCTCCAAGCATAGCGCTGCCCACAGCAAGTACAGCATGTACGACTTTTATTTAGTTTTCTGGCATGTGCCTTAGCCATAAAAGATACGATAAATAAAATCTAAACATCCGTCATGTACTGTATAACCCACCTCCCATAACCAGGAAGCCTGAACTCATATCCAGAGAGAGAATTAGACACGTAAAATGAGGTAAAGACCTCGGTTCCTCCCCTGGCCAGCTCACCCCACAGAAGCAGAGGAAACCAACAATTTTACATAAACATTACGAGTCAGAGTCCACCTCTTACTCTCCTGCTGCAAAGGTGCAATCCAGCAGACCAAACAAACTGCGTTTCCCTCCAGAAGAAAGGGGGGCCAAGACTCCCACTTCCAGAGCAATCCTCCCCCACAGCCTGCGCTGGGGCCGCAGAGCACCCGGCTGACCCAGCACCCGTGGGGTTGGGTGCGGGAGGGCACACACATGGCTGCCAGCCATCCTCTGGCTCCAGCCCTGCCTGGGCTGTCCCTGTTCCGCACCCTGAGCCGTCCTGGAGATCTGCCAGGGACATCAGCCAGCCCTTGACTCCGCAGGCCAGGGAGATTAATCCCACTTCTGCTGCGCCCAACAGGGAGCTGGGATCGGCAGTGCAGAGAGGGGCTGCCAGCACCCAGCACCGAAAGGCGCCTAGAGATGCCCCCGGGAGCCGGCGGGATCAAGGAGCCGTTTCTCCACAAGGCCCTTTCCCGCTGCAGCCATGAGTGCAGAGATCAGCGCTGCTCAGCTGCCCCTGCCGCAGCACGCTGCCATGCAGAGCGGTCCTCAAGGCTGGCCTGGCAAACAGCAGCTCAGCCCCAAGCCCCTTGGCTTGGATGGACAGGGCTCTCTGCAGGTCCTGGGCTCTGCAGAGCACCTTTGAAATACTAATGCAGACCTCTCCTAGCATCAATCACCACCTTCCCTGCAGGACCCAGAGCCTCTGGGCCAGTTTCAGCAATCCTGGGATGTGCCATCCGCCTGCACACAGAAGGCTAATGGCTCCAGACCACTTACTATGCCACTCACCCCAAACACGTTTAGCTAAAAGAAGTGTCGACAGGCAAAGTCCAAACACATCCAAGAGTAAAGAGGCCCTGCACTGAATCCACAAGCAAGCCAACAGGACCTGTCACTTCCCCAGGGACAGAAGTACAGCCAGGCTCCAGGCCTGCCGAGAGGTAAACAGGTAGCATGAAAAACCAACACTTGCTAAATTTGACGGCCCCTCCTCATGGCAGCCTTCGCCCCCTCCCTGGGGCAGGTAGGAGCCTCCAGCTGCTCTCCAGACCATCTCTGGGGCGGGCTGCAGGCTGCACCTCCAGCTCAGACTGAGCCCAAAGGACAGCTCTCTACCCATGCTCAGAGCACCTTTCTGTGCAGATCCAGCTAG